AGTCTTATTGCAACATACATCCTGTGACTCGATCTACAAGCGTAAGATTCAACACAACTGTCAGTTCTCACCTGTTATTTTTGCTTGACTGTAAGCTACAACGGTTTCAAATGCATGTTTCTGATTACAAGGTTTTTATCTAAACTCTTTAAAGACTTCATCGCTTCAAAATACAATGTTCTTTGTTTAGGTAATGCAAAATATAGGCTTCTAGTAATATCTGGCATGGTTCATTTTAAATGAAAAACCTAGGAAAGGTATCCTATTCTTGATCTGTAACACTTTGTCAAACACTTCGTCAAACTACAAGCACGTTGTGTGACTGCCACTGTGCCAGAGCCTTTTAAAGAAACTTTAAGGCATGTGAATCATTCTAGCTTATGTGAACTGAAAAAAGGGCAAAAAAGATTCAAAGCACAAACCGCTAAGGTCTTACATAAGTAAGTGACATAGCTCCCTCTGCTGACTGTAGAAAGAAAAGTCAGGTTTTTAAAAGATAAGTGAAAAAAAAAATATGCGCTGAGAGGAAAAAGTGTTGCAGAACAGAAATATGAAGAAAAACCGAAGGCTGAGAACAATGTAATTATACTAGGATAATAGAAGCCCATCGTTTGTAAATACTTATTTAATCAACAGTGACATAAGTTGACTTACTGTTGACCCATGTTACTCTCATAAGCAAGAATTTTGAAGTTGATATAGAATAATTCAAAGATGAGAAGGAAGAGCATTTTTGGTGTGGCACATACAGATCCAGTCTGTACCTTTTGGCAGTTCAGTAAAATGGCTTTTGGCTCAGCAAAATGAACTGTGATCTTATAGCCATCGCCCTTCCTAGAGGCATTCAGTTTTCATTGTAACAGCCACTAGTTTTTCAAACTTAAATTCGGACATGAGCACTTGAACCCCTTTTGCTGTAAAACGTGACATGTTTTTTAGCATCAGAGACAAGTGCATCTCTCTCTGGAGACAAAGAAAGGTTCAACCTCTGTCTGAGGTAGGCTATATTCAAGTGGTAAATCCCTCACTACAGAGAGAGGAATAACACAGAGGAGACTTGCATGTGATAATTCCCTACATAGTCATTACAGGTAGTCCACAGATCTGTCCGCAAGGAATTTGAGTTAAACAGCATGGGAACCCTATGATTAAGTATAGCGTAGTGGCACTAAAAATTAGGATTCATATTCAAAGCAGCCTAGAAGTGGTTGATTGACTAGTTAATGAACAGGGACATAAAGCAACATTAAGAGCTACCAGGATGTTTGTGCTGCAAGACATGAACAAATGTGATTTTTGAGCAGCGAGGTTGAGTTAGCAGAAATGGACACATGGTAAAATGGAGGCTATGGAAAAAACCAGACATCTAAAACAACATTTTGGAATATATTGGAGGGAGAGGACTGAGGTGAAGAAGTAGCAAGGAACTCTGGATGGCCATCAACAGTCTTTTACCCCAGGGTCCAATCATGTTGTATCACCAAACCGGAGGAGTACTCCTTATCCTCCTTGTATTGCTGCCGTGAGGAGGATGAAACCTGAATGGAAGACAAAGAAGGTGATGATGAACACAGAGGAGTGGAAAAAAAGAGAAGGAAAAAAAAACAACCTTGCCAATGTTTAAACCAAAGCCACTAGCTCCAAATTATTCTTCCCCTTTACACTGCAAGTTGCCTTGCAATCAGTGTGATGCTCTTTCAACACTTCAATTCAATGAGTGCAGCTAACAGAGGGAGCTCAGAGGTCCAGCAGTTTGCACAACCGTTTCTGCAGAAGGACGCAGGAGTTCTGCTGAGAGGCATGCATCTGTGCTCAGTGACAGTGGTGATGCACCACCAGTCACAGTCCTGAGCACCCTCTGAAGCAACTGCTCCTGATCTTGACCTAGATGGGACTGCCATAGGAGGATGCAGGTCTCCAGGTGTGGGGCTGAATGCAGTGCAGAGGACCAGGGCCTTGCTGAGGCCAGGGTGGGGATGATGGTGCCCTTGCTTAGGGAGTGTGTGCAGTTGGAGGGTCTCTGTTGCCAAGTAAAGGAGCAGCAAGAGAAGGTCAACAGGCTGCACAGTCTCAGATCCATCAAGAAAGAGCTTAACTGGGTCATGTCCAAACAAGACCCTGAGCATCCAGCTGTCCCAAAGGAGGGGCAGGCAGAGTCTGTGCTTATCAAGCTGGGAAATGGAGACTCCCTTGATGGTGAAGGCTGGGAGCTGGTGACTTCTTGCACCAGGAGAACCACTCCTGCTCCACCTGTAGATATTCAGCTACAGAGCAGGTTCAGTGTCCTAACAATATCTCGTCTCGGCTTGGAGCTGTGTCCAATGAAGCAGGTAAGCCAGCAGAGCCTGAGTCCTGCAGCAGCACCAGGAGGAAGTGTGAGAGACTCTCTGCCATGGGGACGGGTGCCCCATCTGCTGACTTGGCCTGCTGTAGGGGGGAGTTGTTCTTGACAAGGGCTTGGACATTATGGAGAGACTGCTGGTGCCTGTCCAGCCCCTGGACTAGTATCCTCTATGTTCCTTCTCATGGTCACCAAGTGATGCTGCCAGGGAGGCCTGGAGTGTACCATCTGCAAGTACATGGTAAAATATCTATATAAGCTTCTTCATTGTTGTTTAAATTACTGACTTGCTGGAGAACACACATGGGCAATATTGCTATGCATCTGATCTGCCACAACTGAACCTAAAGTAACATGATTGTACTTCTTAGTGTGGTGTACTAATTATTACAGTAATGCTGTTGGAGTATTGAGGCCAGCCAAGCCAGATTACCTGGCAAACAATGAATGACAGCATAGTAGTTACAAACTGGATTCTGAGGCACCTTTTATTTTCTTGCAGAAGGTATTGATATCAAAAATAGCAGACGCATGATTTAGGTCTCTGCTTGAGATAGCACAACAACAGACTTAAATTGTCCCTTGATTAGGGATGCCCAAAATTATTTTCAGAACTGACATTTGTTTATTTACATGGCCTAAACCACCTTCCAACTTTAACAACAGGACATGGAAATTATCCAGATTGGTTATGTAGGTATTTTGCTCCCATACAGAGAAAATTAAGAGATATGTGTACATCTGTATTATACAGATAATCTAAAACAGATTTAATTTCAGGATACTAGTTCTTAGCTGTCTTGCAATTAATCTACAACAACTTAACGGTCTTATTACTTGCTTTTCTCCTTTCACCATAGATCACAGATTCTCTTCCATTTTCATTTTTCAAGAATTATACTGCCTGCCTTCTTAATGAATAAGCATTGCTCAAGGATCAAAGTTAATGAGATCTGTCTTATTAATTTCCTGTCATGGCCTTTGAAAATGCATTACTTTCCACACATAAATATATATTCTACTTAGGACTATCTCTTCCTCTCTTTACCCTTG